ATTATCTTTTTCATTTTTTACATTTAAAACTGACTTTCTATTAGCTTTTCCATCTGGAGTTTTTATATATGAGCTACCCTTTATTAATTCAAATTAACACCCATTGTGGTCCTCTTAAATTATCTGAAACACGTTTATGTTCATATAATATTTTTAGTGTTGGGTAGTAACGTAACGAAAGTAACGCGTTACTGTAACGGCGTTACTTTGCTTGTAACGCGTTAAGTAATTTCATTAGAATTATATCCAAGTAACGAAAATGTACTGGAAATTACTTTTGCAAATTATGGTGCAAAAATAATTCTAACACCCACCCAAGGGGGTTTTACATAACAAGTAGAGGGATGTTTTTAGTATTACCACTTAAAGTTGCCACTACAGATCATTTTCCAAATTAAAACTTATTAAGAATTTTCTGAGAATTCTATAGTACAAGATTATTTGAATTATATAGCTATACTTAATGTTGAACATCAGAGTACATTTGAATTCTGAATTAAATTTGGGAAATGTTATAAATTACTTTGCTAATTTAAAAGCAATAAAATTTAATTTCCGTTCTTAATTTGTATAATTATTTCATTTCTATAGCACATATTATGAGTATATTTAGAATTCTGATTTATGAAACGTTGTCAATGACTTGAAATAAGTTATAAAATTGTATTTCATATTGTTTGTAATTATTTTTTTCTATATATGTAGGTAGTAGGTACCATATTATATTATCTAATTTGTTGAACTGATGTCTATTGTTAATATCAAATACCTAATAATTATGATCAATTGATATATTATTAACTATGATTATTTGTATCTGTTTGTGATAGGTTTTTTATAATTTTAAATATGATAAAGATTTTTTTCTATATACCTAATTATATGTTTAAATATAATATAGGTAGGTCGTATATCTTTATGCTATGCAATACTTTTTTTAGAACCATATATTTTTACAAAAGCTTTATTTGATATTTATAATAAAAAAAAGAACACTTATAAAGTGTAGTTATATTTAAATAACAATACACTGGTCACTGGGTTAGTGGGGCTTCACATAAAAATTTTGTTTTTTTAAAAACAAAATCACCATCATTATTTATTTTTGTATAGGTAACCTATAAAAAATATTATATTATACATAGACTTCAGGGCCCCATACATTGACTTGGTCCGGGGCCTCAAGAATCCTAATTGCAACACTGTGTATAGGTAGGTACGCGATTATGCAGCTGTTATAATACGATTTGGACGTATACTACCTACCATATTATAATAGGATTGCCTTTCATACTTCTCGAAATATTAATCGGTAAGCCCTTTTTAATGTCGTGCTTATGCGCTGCGGGTCCGCTGTTGTTAATTATGATTTGGAAATCTGAGTTTTATAAACAAGACGATTTGGCACACTCAGATTTCACATTTTCCGAATGATTCTCACGGTTATATCTATTATAATTTATAATATATATTGACATTATACATAGCGATGGTAATGAAAGTAAAATGTATCTATAATATTATTCAAAAGACAGGGAGGGAGAAGACTGCACGCAGTTACTCAGTTACTGCAGTATAATAAAATTAGTTAATGATTACGATTATTGTAGAGACGAGTAAATATAGATAATAATAATTCTAATGTCTAAGCGTATTAGTTCGTTTGCTTTAAATTTTACGAAATTACATATTAAAAAACCTAGAGTAAATATTTTAGTTATTTTGTTTGTGATTGTATAATATTATTCGTGGGTACTTGAAACTTCTAAAGTATACGTATATATCTATGATAGTATCAAGGTTTGTTATTGATGTACAACTCGTTATAAGTACCTAATGGATATTGTAATATGATTAATTTGGAATTTATTATAGGTACCTATTATATTATAGGTCAATTTTTTTTTTAATGCCATAGATATGTATATAATATTTCTTAAACCTAGACTGATATTCTCCGCTCAGAATTGTTTTTCGTATACAATGATATTATATCATTGAATTCAAAGTTAACGGGACGCCTCGCCCGCCTAATATGTTGTCTCCGTCTTACAAGTGCGTAACATAGCAAATTGTACTCTTAGCAGAACACGTGTAGGTCCGTTTGTTTAAAAATTAGAGTGAATTGATCTCTTATAAAATTTAAAGACAAGTTTATTATCTAGGTAATCTCCTGGGGCTTTATATTATATTTTAATTTTAAAGCAAGTAATGGATATTTTAAGATGTACAAACAATTTACAATTTTACAAATATCTATCACCATTTGTTCGCGCCGCCGTCACCGCCACTCGCATTATACGTACTAGTTAGTATATTCCGCCGACCGACACACATACACACACAAACACAATAATATATTCGTTATTGAATGTCTTATCTTTGTACCATTCCTTGTTGTGTATTATAATATAACCGTAGATTACGCTCGGTGCGTTACCAGGCGCCGCCGGTCCCCCGGTTTAACACTTCGGCCCCGTCGTCAGTCCGTCAAGATATGTCAACGGAGGATCCAACACTTTTCTGCCGTGGCGCAAATCGCCGTTAAATTAATATTGTTGTTTGTAAGTGCGCAATAAAAATAAGTGCGAGGTTTTTTATTATAATATATTGCTTATTCACGAATTGCCGGTATTTTTTTTATTATATTTATTATTTATTGTGTGGGCTCGAATTGTCACCTTTTTATAATTATATAAAAGTTATATTCATTTTTTGGTGTGCACTGTGCGCTAATCGTGCTCTTAATTATGTTGTATAACCAAGGTCGCTAATCGCCATATATTAATTATTTTGTGACCGCAAATATTATAAATATTAAATATTATTATCTTTTATATCGCCGTTTATACTCTTATTATTGTTGCGTGTGCGCTCAACGCCACTGATAGTATTTTGTATTATTGTCAGTTCGCGCTGATCTCCGCGAGCCTTTATTATTTTAATTATTATTATAGTATAGGTACGGGACCAGCTGGACAGACTGCGCTCCACAACCCTGTGAGTTTTGAATTATCATTAACTAATTATTACTGTTATTATTATTGTTAAATCAATTGGCTGAGCAAGCTCATCGCTCATGCTTGTAATTATTTTTTATCATGGGTATCTTTTTGTTGATCCAAATGGGCTAAATTTGTATACAATTATTCGTCGTGCCAGAAGGGTACCATATTATTATTATGTTTATATATTTTTGATATTTATTATAATATGTCCTTTAGTGCATTACACGATTTAGTTACCATTATTTGAGTTACCACTTACCTATCTATCTTAGTTATAAGTACACGCACACACATATACACACCTACAACACACCCACCGCATACCCACTCGGAGTTTGGATCGACGAACCAGTCCACTTCTCCTGAGTTGCTATACCTAATATACACACAGATGCACATTTCGGTCGGTGTGTGAGTGTTGCCCCGAAGTATACGCTGACCGGGCGCAAGGTCTATTATTGTGGCTCGAACACCACTGTTCATCTTGTAGTGTTCTTATACAAATCGATGTGCCACACCATTTTTTTTTTAGTCCGAAATTCGTGCACGACAAGCCCGAAAATGATGTGATACCTCGATTCTTATGAGAATTTTGCAAAAAATACAACTTGACTATTTATATTTACATTTAAGATAATGTTCTAAATTTGTATTAACCGCCAGATTTTGAAGATTTGGAAATTTCAAAAAAATCTTTATTGGGCCATCACATTGAATACGTATATACAATATACTATAGTGACTTCATCCATTTCAGAACCACCCTGTATAAGGAAAAATACTAGAAATAAAAAACAAATCAAAATAGTCAATAATATGGCTATAAATATCAACATCTAATTTGTTTATCAGCTAAATATAATACAGTAGAATGTCCTGATGAACGATGGTACTATAATATCATTACAACATTCTCAATTCAAATATTTTTATATTTTATAATTACATTTATATTTTATTATTAAATTTCGAATAGGTACCTAGTTCAATTATTTTGTCATTAATGGTACATTGGTACGTATTATGACTGATAAAACCTACTTATTAAAATAAATAAGTGGCACTCGAAAAAATTAGTTCAAGTATCTATTACAACGTAAACAAGATAACATATTACAATAATCATGGTGGATCTATAAAGAAAATGTCGGTCTCGTCTTCAACAAGACGAGAGACGCCACACCGCCATAGTCATCAATAAAGTCGGTGTGCACTATACGCATCGATATTCGACATCAGATAGCCAGATACGAAGGAATTTTATAATTTAAATTTAAATTTTTATATATTTTATTATATTGATTTAAATACATCGATTAATGATTATATAGGCTCATATTTCAATAAGTACCATACGTATTGCCCTGCAGTATTATCCATTACTCGTTACCGCGCTGAATTCAATTCAATTACCTATACCTACTACAAATAAGTAATAAATAAATTCTATAAATTGAAATAATTATAATCTATAAATTCTTTAAATCTAATTTAGTTGTATAGAATCAATATTACATTTATTTTTTTATTTTTATTATTATTTAAATATATTTTTGTTGTGACACCACAGATGAGTACATAACTACCAACAAAAAAATGTATGAAGTGATATTGTAAAGATCACTTAATAATACAAAAAATAACATTCCTTGTATTTGTTTTTGATATTATCACCTATTCGCTGCAGTCTGCAACAGATATTTATTTAAACTAAATAAATGAAAGTACACTACACCTGTCGTTATGCACATTAAATCTACAATCTAGGAACAATGAACATAAATAACAATTCTTTAATATTTATTTCAACACTTATTTATACTTGAAGTTATCCATTATATCTTAGTAATTTTTTTAACAGAAGTAGGTACTTTGTTGGTCTTTATACAGGTTCTATACTAAAATGTATTATTAGGTCTTATGATGAACGATGATATAAAAATTTATCACAATTTTTAAAATAATTTCAAGGTTGTTATGTCAGTGAAAGAAATGGATGCCTTACATAATTCATCGAGTGAAAGTGATCCAAAACAAGTTCTGACATCCAAAGAATGTGAACCAACCAATTTTAGAAATAACTCTCACTCTGTCAGAATACTAGAAGATTTGCAATCTCTACGCAAGTATGTTAAAGGTGATTTTAGCTTTATTAAAAATAAATATTAGTAACGAATTTTTGTTTTTAGAAATGAAGTATTATGTGATATTAGATTTGAAACAGACGATGGATGTACAACGTTTGGCCATAAAAATGTTTTAATGGCAGCTAGTCCATATTTCCGTGCAATGTTCAGTAATTATTTTTATACATGTTAATATATCATATTTTCTTACAAGAAAAACTCTAATTGTTCATATCTCATACACTGTAGAATAGACAGAATTCGTTAATTTTTTTTTATATAATACACTGTATTAATCAGTGGCGCCGAAGTAAATACTAAGGTTGGCCACATTTTATTTACATCATAAATGAGCATGATTATATCATTTAAACAGTGATTATGAATAAATATATATATTAGGGTTCCTTCATATTAAATAATTAAGATAGCAACTAAAATATAAAATATAATTTTCAAATTTCATAGAAACGCGGAAAATTGGAAAAACCGGCAACAACACCGTCAATATAAGAAAATTAGATTCCACTGTCTTACAACTATTATTAGATTATATTTATACCGGTGAAATTATCGTCACAAAAGAAAATGTACAGGTATACCTGATTAAAAATGTGATTTGTTACAGACAATAAAACAAAATTACTTTAAATGTATTATTGTTGAATGTTGATTTCTCCAGGTCTTGTTACCAGCCGCAAGTCTCTTACAATTAGATTTTGTAAATGACTCGTGTGTTGAGTTTTTACAAAAACAACTGGATCCATTAAATTGTATTGATATCAGAGCGTTTGCTGACTTACAGAACTGTACGGAATTGTTATCAAGTTGTGAAGCGTTCATTAAAAAACATTTTTTGTAAGATAGAATTTCATTAACTTAATTCTCTATATTTCTCAATAGTACATAATATATAATATTATAATGACAATTATTTTCAGAGAAGTGGTTAAAAGTGATGATTTTCTATCTTTATCTTCTGATGATGTGGTAAAGATTATCTCCTGTGATGATCTTGCTGTTCCATATGAAGAAAAAGTAAATAAACTGCAATATTAGTAATATTTATTGTAACATCGAGATCAACTAGACACAAAGAGCTAACATGTATACCTACTAAAGACCTGCTAGGGCCGGCCCGACCCGACCAGGTTCTTAAAAAGCCGGAGCCGTAGTGACGTTGGACCGGACTGGGCCTTTGAAATAAAATAAAGGGTTGGACCGGGCTTTTTAAGTTGGAATTTTATTCCGGACCGGGCCTGGGCTTTTTTTTGTACAATTTTTCGGGCCGGGCCGGGCTGGACTTCGAATAATAAATCAACGGTTGGACTGGGCTTTTTAAGGATTTTTCTTCGACAGTAAATAATCACAATTTAAAATAATAAATAATAATGATAAAAACCGACGTTGGTACAGATATATACATATAGAGTATACTCTATGGATAGTAGATACAATCCCAATGAATATAATAATATATCGATTGGTGGGTATAATAAAGCTATATTTTATATATACCATAATAATATTATATTTTTTTTTCACAATATTTTTTGGACCTTGCCGGACCGGGCTCGAGGATAAAATATATGGACCGGACCGGGCTTTTTACGAGCTTAGCATAATTTTTGAACCGAGCCATGGCTTTTTTTTCACAATTTTTTTTTGGACCGGGCCGGCCTGGGCCTGAGGATAAAATTGATGGACCGGACCTGGCCGCAAATTTACGGCCCTTGCAGGTCTATAGTACCTACATGTTTTATTATAATATTGAACTAACTAGAAGGGGTTTTAATTTACCTAGTGTAATTTATTGTTTTTGAATAGTCATGAGTCATCTGCAAAAAAAAATAATTGTTAGCCTGTGAATTAATTATGTAAATAATTCCTTTGCTTAATATAAACAGTAGGAACACATGATCTTAAAGATCTATTATATTTTTGGGATCCTGTGATAATTATACACTATTGAATGGTTGAAAAATCTATTATTATATCTTAATCTAGTTTTAAATATTTTTTATTGTAGGTATTTGAATGTGTTATCAAATGGGTAAAACATGATTCAGATCATAGAATAGATTTTTTGCCAAAAATAATGGAACATGTACGTTTGCCATTACTAAAGCCTGATATATTATTTAATATATCTGAAGAACCTCTTCTAAAAAATAGTCATAAATGTATGTTATTTTCATAAATATGCCATCATTATGGATTTATACATTTTATGAATTATTATTATAATTTTTATAGGTAAAGATTATATAATCGAAGCATTACATTTTAATCATCAAAAATCAGTTCAGCATTTAACCATTCCAAAAACAATTAGGTTTAAACCTAGACAGTTTGATGGTTTTCAAAAAGTATAATTCCAAATTGATTGATTAATTTACCTTCACAATAATTTTGTCGATTTAATTCTATTAGGTTATTCTAATGTTCAGTAAGTCTAATACATCGCCAGTGTGTTATACTGAATGGTATGACCCAGCAACCAAGCTAAGAGAGAATGCACCAGGAATAAATGAATTTCGGAGGTTTGCTGGTTTTGGTGTCATAAATGATCAATTTGTGTTTGCTGTGGGAGGTGTAAATCTTAGGAGTCCTAAATCTGTTAGTATGCTTGACGTATCTTCACAATCACCATCATGGGTTCCAATGGCTGACATGTTAGTTAGAAGAATTTTTTTGGGAGTTGGTGTATTGGATGATTGTATATATGCAGTAAGTTAAATCAATATTTTATTTATTTTATATTAAAAATGTATATTATTTGTAATTCTAGGTTGGTGGAGGATTTCGCCACAATCCATTGAAAAGTGTAGAGGTATTTGATGTCATTACCCAAAAATGGAGAATAGTGTCTAGTATGACAATTGAGAGACATAAATTGGGCGTTGGTGTACTCAATAATCGTCTATACGCTGTGAATAAATATATCATATTATTATTTATTTATTTATTTTACACTTTATTTAATTAAATTGTGTAGGTTGGAGGTTATAATGGTAACTATTTGAAATCTGTTGAATATTATGATCCCACACTTGACATGTGGACTCCGGTTGCAGAAATGTCTGAGTGTCGTCAAGGTGTTGGTGTAGGGGTTTTGGATGGTCTCATGTACGCAATTGGTGGCTATAATGGAAAGTATCTTAAAAGTGTTGAGGTTTATAGATCAAGTGATGGAGTTTGGTCTTCTATAGCCGATATGAATTTATGCCGATTGTGCCCTGGTGAGTAGTGACTATGATAATTATATTTTTTAGGACGACCTTTGTAAAAATATATTGAATTTAAAATACATCATCTTATAGTGTAGGTAATGGAACGGTTTGTAGGGGTTGTAAATAACAAACGACGACGAACACGTTAAGTAGGTACTTACGACGTATATTGCCCAGGTAATATATATAGTTAATTATGATTATAAATTATAATAATACGCGTGCGGCGTTGACAACGGTCCGACGAGAGATCCCGTCGCCACCGCCGCTGGCCGGGCCGGCGGCCGTGCCGCAGGCGGCGGCCAGACCGGTTGTCGGTCGCGATCTCGTGGACGTCGATAGAGACGCCGCGGTCGTTGCGATAACGACCGCGACATACTCCCCCCCGAGTCCACGAGACGCGCCCGAGCAACCTAGTCCACGGGGAGGATGACCGGGTTCGTGGGTGTCACCTCCATGGCTTGGATCCACCGCTCCACCGCGGCCAGCTGCTGCTCCTGGGTGCCTGGATGCTGGGCCGGCTGGAACTCTGGCTGTGTGTCGGGCGGCTGCACCACGGGTTGCTGATCTTGCGGCTGCACCTCGGGCTGCTGAGCTTGCGGCTGTACTGCTGGCGGGTCGATTTGCGGCTGCACCGCTTGCCGCCTAAAACGACCACGTCCATCCCGGACGTCGTGGCGCTGGTACGCCGGCGCTGCTTGGCGGGGTGGGGCCCTCCCCGGAGGTCCTGCCCGAGCCCTGGCGTTTCCTGGCTGTGGGGTGTTTGCTCGAGTGGACCGGCGTCCCTCGGCGAACCCCCGCTCGAACAAGGCCCACGCAACCGGGCTTGCTCGTATCCGGCCGAACGATGCGGTGGCCGCGCGTTCGGCCGACCAACCGCCAACCGTGTCCTCCGGACCATCGCCCGACAGCCTCCTGGCTTCCCGCAACAACTGCGCCGCCATCGCCCGGAGTTTTTCCGCATGCCTGGCAATCATGCCGCGGGATGGCCGGTGGTTGCGGTTTGGTGGTGGCTGGTTTGGTCGTTCTGCCATCTGAAACAATGTATGGTTAGTTAGTGTTCTCTGACGGTCCTACAGCTAGCTTCATCGCTGAGACATGTAACTTAATAGGGTGTTTACCCTCCGTCAAGAACACTCCGGTTCCTAGTGGTTTACCCAACTTAACCGGACCTAACCATTTCGGGGCGAACCCCGCGTGAAAACGCTTCTCCGCACTTGACTGCGGATGCGCTTTGTAGTATACCCAATCCCCGACTGTCAGACTAATTCTTCCCGGGGGTTCTAGGGGTATATGGGTACTGGGGGCTTTGGGGCCGGAGACTACCGGGTTACCCCCCTCTACCACAGTGGCATCATCCGGTTCCACCGGGGAACCTTCGATTTCTACCGGAGGGTTCCGCACTGCTTCGGACAACTCCGGATCATTTTTTCCCGCGTCCGGAGATCCTTCGGCCAACTCGAGCTGCCAATCTCCGGGGGCCTTGATCTCCCGGCCAAACATCATTTTGGCCGGTGACTGTCCGGTGTTTCGGTTTTCTCTGTTTCTTACGGAGAACAACACGTGCGGCAGGTAGACATCCCACAGATGATGAGGCTTATCAACAAGTAAGGTTCGGAACCCTTTCTTCAGTTCTTGATTTTGCCTTTCTACCGGGTTGGCACGTGGGTGGTATATTGGAGTCGTCCATCCTTCCACTCCCCACCTCTTTAGTGCGTCTCCCATTGCCTTGGACACGAACTGCGGGCCATTATCCGACAATAATGCCCTCGGGTACCCGAACCGTGGGAACAACTCCCGTTCGAATGTATCCACAATCGATTTGGTCGTCGCCTTTCCTAGGGGGTACGCCTCTACCCAGCGACTGTAACAATCAGTTACTACCAAAATCGTTGTCTTACCCCGCTGCGTTCGTGGGTATGGACCCATAAGATCGATGCTCAGCACCTCCCAAGGTTGCCGTGGGACTCTGGTGCGTATACGATCTTCTGGTTTGCGATTCAGTGGTTTTACACGTGCACAGACGTCGCACGCCCGCACGTAGTTACGCACTGCTTCACGCATACCGGCCCAAAAGAAACGACTCTTTATACTTCGGTACGTTTCTTTCCACCCTGGGTGATTCGCTGCTTCGTGGTCGTGAAACCTTTGTAGCAGAATCTGGGCCTTGTCTACCGGGACGACCACCCCCTCTTCTCCATGCGCGATGGATCGTGGGTGGCGGTGCAACACCTTGTCCCGGATGACGTACAACTTCCGAAGCCGACCGAACCTTGCACCATCTCCGGAGAGTTTAGTAACTATCTCCCTTATGTTCGGGTCGTTTTGTTGCCACTCTCGGACAGCTTGCAATGTGACGTTTCCGTCATTTCTCTTCGGCTGGATCGCTCCACACTGGGTGACACCCACACCGGATCCTCCGGACACGCCGGACAGATCGCCGAAGACTCCGGAAGTTCCTCCGGACACTCCGGGCTGAATCACTGGGGGATCGTGGATATTGTTCTCCAACGATTCTTCGTCCACTGTATTCGGTCCCACCGGACAACGGGATAGCGCGTCGGCTGCTTCATTTTCTACTCCGGGTACGTGCCGGATTTCAAAATCGAAAGCCCCGAGTTGTAGCGCCCATCGCGTTAGTTTGCTGTTGGTACAGCGAGCTTGCTGTAACCATCGGAGTGCCGCGTTATCTGTGAATAACATAAACTTACCAGACTCAAGATACGGCCTGAACCTGTCAACCGCCCAAACTATGGCTAGACATTCACGTTCGACTGCCGAGTATCTTCCCTGTGCTGGATTGAGTTTCTTGCTGGCGTAGGAAAT